TCCCCCGTGTACTGCCTTGCACATTAAGCTCCAGTAAATCTGAATTAGTTTAGTATTTCCAATATGTCATGCTGTTTTATGCTTCTGTGCCTTTGTACATGCTATTCCCTTTACTTTTATCTCCTTTGTCTGCCTGGAGAACTACTATTCATCTTTCAAGACCCAGCTCAGATGGTTCCACTTCCAAAGAGCTTAACACTTCCATGACTCAAACCCCTTTCCCATCTGATGGACCACTCCTTCATCTGAGTCCATCCTTATTTTGTAATTACTTTCATCCCTGCATTTATCACATTTGTCTATCTGAATACTTTTAGCATTTAACCAAGTCCCAGGAACATCAAGTTGCTCAGCAATTGTTACTTGAATAAATGGGAGTTGGGAGAAACTTAAGAAAATGAATAGAGAATTAGGAGAAAGCTATATAAGGTTGGATTCAGTTGTTTTTAAATCAAATTTTTATTGAAGTACACAACAGAAAGAATGTGCAATTTGAAGTGTACAACTCCATGATTTTTCACAAAGTAAATGCATCCATGCAATCAGTGCCCAGATCAAAAAATAAAACACTACCAAAAGCCCAGAAGCCTGCCTGATGCCCTTTCCCCGTCACTATTTCCCCTATGGTGACCATTATTCTAACTTCTAACCCTGAAGATAAGTTTACCTGTATAACAGCTTCTATATTATAGTCAATACTGGATCGAAATGTGATACTTTTATTACATATGACTACCACTACCGAGGACTAAGAATTATTGTGCACCATCTATTTACCAAGCACAGTTCTAACTGCTTTACATATATAAACAAATTTATCTTCACAGCCACCCTGTGAAGTAGGAGGCACTCTAACTACTTAGGTTAAGCAATTTGCTCCAAGACACATAATGGCTAAGTGGTAGGGCTGGCATGTAAACCTAGATAGCAAGTCTCCAGAGTTTGTGCAGTGCAATGGACAAACATCATCAAACTATATGTTAGCAAAATATATGGCAGTAGTTTAACAGCTATTACTGTCCATTGCCTGCTGTTGGAAAACATGAATGTCAGAACAAGAGATAGCTGGATAGAGAGTCTCTTGGGTGCCAGTAGTCAGATGTCCTTTATAGATCAGTGCTGCAGAGTTGTTGAAAGCCAGAGCTGCTTGAGTCCAAGCCCTAGCTGCACTATTTACTAACCATGCGACCTTAGGCAAGTAACTTAAACTTCATGTCCCTTAGTTTTTCACCTGTAAAATATAGGTAATAATAGTACCTACATCATGAGATTGCTGTGAGGATCAAATGAAATACTCCTGGCACGTGGTATGAGCTTCATTCATTCACTCATTCATTCATCCATTCGACAAATATTTGTTCAGTGCCTACCATGTGCCATAGCCTGGGCTTGTTGTTTAGCATGTATCAATGAAAAACCCAAGATCCCTGCCCTGTTGGAAGTTGTGGTATAGTGAAGCCTGCAGCGGGGGTGAGGGGTGGCAGAGAACAGAAGAAAAAGAACATAATGTAGTACATTAGAAAATGGTAAGTGCTATCTTACTTCACTGATGAACAGTGACTGCAATGGTGTATTGGGGGGGGGGGACTCGATAATATGGGTGAATGTAGTGCTACATTGTTTTTCATGTGAAACCTACATAAGAGTGTATATCAATAATACCTTGATAAAAATAAATAAATAAAAAGAAAATGTTAAGTGCTAAATTTTTTAAAAGTAGAGCAGAGCATGGAGTGGTGGGAATGCTGGAGAGGTTGAAAGTTAACAGTGTTAAAAAGAAGAGTCAGGCTAGGCGTCACAGAGAAGCTAAGATTTGAACAGAGTCAAGGAAGATGAGGAAGTAAGATTCATGGATGTCACGTGTCTTTTGAAGAGCATTCAAGGCAGAGGAAACAGAGCAAAGTCCCTAAAGCTGGGAGGGTGTCTGCTATTCTGGGAACAGCAAAGCAGCCAGTGCTGCTCGACTGGATCATCAAGGCACAAAGTGGCAGGAGAGGAGGTCAGAGAGTTATTGTGCATGTGTGGGTGGGGGGTAAGGATTCTCCATGAAAATCCTGTAGGACCTTGTAGGCTATTATAAGGATTTTGGTTTTTACCGCAAAGCAAATTGAGAGCCTTTGTAGCCTTTTGAGCAGAGTAGTAACATGATCTGACTTAATATTTTGTAACCATGTCTCTGGATCTGTATTGAGAATAGATGGTGAGTGGTTGTCACAGGTTGAATTGTATCCTCCCAAAAGATAGGCTCAAGTACTTAGCCTTGCAGTACCTATGGATATGCCTTTATTAGAAATAGCATCTTTGCAGACATAATAAAGTTAAGATGAGATCATATTGGATTAAAGTGGGCCCTAATCCAATAACTGATATCCTTATTGGAGGTGGGACATTTGGACACAGAGATACACACAAAGAAGACAGCTATGTGAAGACACAGAGGCACATAAGGAGAACACCATGTGAAGACCAAGGCAGATATTGCAGTGATGTGTCCACAAGCCAAGGAAGGCCACAGATTGGTGGCAGCCACCGAAGTCTGGAGAGACAGACTGTCCCTCAGAGTCTCCAGAAGAAACCAACCCCGCTGACACCTTGATTTCAGACTTCCAGCCTCCAGACCTGTGAAGGAAGAAGTGTCAGTTGTTTTGGGCCCCCTAGTCTGTGCTGCTTTGATGCGGCAGTGCTAGGAAATGAAATCAGTGCACAAGGGTAGAAGCAGTCAGGAGGCCATAGTCCAGTCAAGAGATGACAGGGGCCAGAAGCAGGTGCTAGTGGTGGAGATGGTGAGAAGCCATCATATTCTGGATACAATATGAAGGTACAGCCAACAGAATCTGCTGACTTATGGGATGTGGTGTGTGAGAAAGTTTAGCTATTATTATTATTATCTGCATGAATGATTTAAATATTTATCAACATGTAGTCTATACCTATAAATGTATGTTCTTTCCTTGCCCCAAGTATCCCTGGCTTGAGACTACTCAAAGATAATTCACCAGGGCAATCAAAAGAGGCTTATATTGCTGTGTGATCAAAGGATAAGTCGCATGACTTCTCTGGGTCTCAATATCTTACTTGGTAAAACAAGAAGTCTGGGTTCCATTGTATGACTGTGTGATTCTATTATGAACCTTGTTGCCTTGGTATTGATAAAGGTTCCAGAGGAAAGTAAACTGTTTTCTGTCTTCCATATTTGAAAAGCTATCTCCAAGTCTGCATTCACTTTGAATAACAAAAGTCTGTCCTCACTGTTGTTGACCTTCTGCCATTTCAGACATTGAGTAAATGAAGGAGTGACCCACCATATTTAAAAATAGAATTACAGCAAGATCAAGGTAACCTTTTGTGCATTTTTTTTTTCAGGAATATGGGAGTGGGATGGGGTTGCCTAATGGGAGTGTGGGACTCTACCTGAAATAAAGGTTTGGAATTCTGGGTCTTAAGACTTCTGACTCCACTTCCCAGAGTACACCTTGAGTTATCATCATCAATGTATTTATATTTACGTTTCAGGAGGATAGTGAATTTATGACAAGATAATACTAATACTAATGCCAACAGCAAACATTTATATAGGGTTTGCTGTGTGTCAGACATTACTCTAAGGGTTTCAGAAATATAAACTCAATCCTTACAATACTCCTGTGAATTATGTACAATTATGATTCCCATTGTACAAACAAGGAAACTGAGGCACAGAGCAATTAAGAAAGATTCTTTTATTACATTAATAAGGGATTTTATATCAACCAAAAGTCAATGGAATCCTTTCAAAATAATTAAAACAGAAATGCTAAAGGCAAGGCAATTTGGAGACTTAATATCAAGGAAAGAAGTTTTGTCAGAATCCCACAAACTAATTCTGACAGGGTCTGTAACAAAACATACATTGACATTAAGCCTCTTCTGTCTCCAACCCTATTGACACTGGTTCTACAAAGAGGAAAAAGGAGACTTAGAACTAGGCCTCAGGGCACCTGAAGGCAGCCCTGCCAGCTGCCAAACACCTGTTAGATCCGGTTCCCAAGAAGTTTTGAAATGTATCCCAGTATTGTTTCTAAGTTACTTCCTTGCTAGGTCTTGATAAATGAGAGTGTCACTCTTTAAATGTGCTTAAACCTCCTTACACTTGAGATTCCGGAGCTGATGTTTCCTTTCAACTTCATGCTTCCTAGAAAATACTAACTTTCCTAAAAGTCACAATTATTACTATTTTGGACACCCCAGTCCCATTCTGTTTCAGGCGCCACCACCTTTGCCAGATCCATCTTTTGGTCAGGCCCAGCTGGGTTCAAATCAGACTATAGCTAGGGTGTGTGACCAATCTGGTGGTGGAAGACTCAGCACTGGGCACCCAGGCTAATCAAAGTCTGCGATCGTTGACTTATTCAGCAAAATATCGTGACTGAAACCTGTAACATAATGAAGAACATGGGTTTGTTCCCCCAATGAAATCGAAGGTTATGAGCAATCTTTGAAGCTCCAAGAGAGTAGTTCTGAGGCTGATAAAAGGAAACCCTTTTACCCTGCCAGTCGTGTAGAACTGGTTGCTCCCAATAGATTTTCCATTCAAATAGGTCCAAGAGCGGTTTAGAGAAATTCCTGAGGGATGAATGAGGAAACCATGGGCTCTCTATCTGAGATACAAGCCCACCCTCCCATAGGGGCGCCACAAAGGGACAATGCTCTCCTGACACAGGCCCTTAGAACCTTGGTCAGAGACAAAAAGTCTGGCCAGACCATCGTGTTGAAGGGGCAGGGGTGGGCGTCAGGGTGCAGTTCCCACATTGTTAGGGACCCTGAACCAAATCCAGGCAACCTTTGAGAGCTAACCTTTCTGAACGTCATGGTACTAAACTGGAGGCCTAAGGCTTACTCTGTGCCACTCCCTCCTGCTCCACAATCGCCGTGTCCAGCTGGCTTTGTGAGTCACCCTAACCCTCTGGAATAAGCCCACTGCGGGTGGGGCTGCCTCGCAGTTTCTCCCCCTTTCCCACCCTGACTCGGCCCTCTCGCTGTTTGAGCTCCCATTTCTTGCAGGCAGACGCCGCCGCTGTGCCCGCCCCACCGGGCATGCTCAGTGCTCCGGCGAGCTTTGCCGGCAGGCAGCTCTCGGCTGGCCGCGCGGGTCCTCGCGCCCGGGTCCCTTTAAAGCAGGCCCGCCGGTTGCCAGGCAACGGCGCGGCCGGCGCCGGCGCTGCACTGCAGAGGCGCTGCCCCGCGCGGGCTTGGCCGGGGCGCGGTGGCCAGCGCCGAGCCTAGGGCTGCCGCCCGCCGCTGGTGGCCGGCTCCGGGGAAGCGGGGACAGGGCCCAGCGGACCCCACCCACGCCTCCAGGTATGTCTGGGCCTGGGAAAGCCGGGGCTCCCCGGGCTCGCCCCTCTTCTTCCCAGGCTCGCCGCAGGGTGACCCGGGCGGAAGCGCCCGCGCTCCCCACCTCGACCCCCGCTGCGGGTTTCTTTTTCTCTTGAGGGTCCCAGGCCGGGAGCAGGCTGGCGTTTGGGAGGGAAGGGAACAGGGCGTGCGAGTCGGGGCGTGGAAGGAAGAGTGGGATCAGGCCTTGCCCGCTGCCCCCTAGCCAGAGGGTAGGGACTGGGGCGGTGGAAAGTGTCGCCTGTGGTGGGGGCCGGGCAGCGCCCCGACTGGAGCCACCTCCTCTCCACTGGAAGTGGCGATGGCAGGAGTTTCAGTTAACCATTTACAGAGAAAACCCCAAACTATGCATACACAAATAGGGCTTTAGAGCAAAAATGTGACTTCCATGCTAATAAAGTACTCAGCCTTCAGAATTAAGGTGACCCTGTATCTTTTCTTTCAGAAGGAATAATTTCACAATAATAACAAAGAATTGGCGCTAGCAAGTGTTCACAGGGCCCAGTTTTCAGTGGTGCTTTGCTTCACTCACAATACCTGCCAAACAATAGAGAAGACAGTTGGTCTCGTAAAGTGGTCACTTTTTGGTTCATATGTTAGGACCCTGCAAGAGTAAGGCAAAGATCAGGATCAATTCCCTTTTTAATGACTTTTCAAATGAACTGTACTCTGAGGGAGGGAGGCAAGGCCTGGGCTCCAACCCTTTGCTAACGTGGCTCTTGGCGTGCTCATTAATAGCAGGTATGCTGCTGCGGCTGCGGCGGCCACCAGCGGTGGCTCATTTGCCCAGTAGGTGCTAAAGGTAAGGAGACACTGGGTTGAGTAAATGCCATCACGATTCTTGTCCCATTTGATACTTGCATTGCTTGGGGACTTAGCATAGTAGTTGAGAAAGTGGGTTGACAAGTTGAAAAGAAAACTTGCTTCAAAAAATGTCTAGCATCACATTTCAGATAAGCCAAATGACATTCTAATTATATCACTTGTAAATTTAAGCTACATCTCAGACATAAACAAGGAATTGGGCATTCTGGCTAATTATATTTTCTAATTACACTGGGGATGTGATTTTATTTTTCAGTTCAAACTGGAGAACAACAGCATCCAATAGAAGACCTTGGCCATCAGGAAGTGTAAGTACAGTTGTGCAGGCTTTTTTCTTGTTAGGGGTGTTTAGAAGCTCAGAGCCTCACCCATCCTCTTCAACCTTGTAACTAGATCATTAATCTGCACTGTCAGTACACTATCAAAAAACCCTCATAAAATACAAGCAAGAAATGTCCTGAAGACTTCAGCTAAGCCATCAAAATTTTGAGGGAAAAATAAAAGCCCATTTCCTAAATTGTCACCCAAAAGACATAATAAGCCAGAGGAGAAATTATAAGTATTTACAAACATTCAATTAGAATCAAAGCATTATACAATTTTCAGGAAGAGTATCAAGAATCACTCGTTCAACAGTTATTTACTGAGGGCTACTATGTGTCAGGTAGCAACTAGGGACACAAAAATGAATAAGATGCTAGGAAATAGAGCACAGGGTACTGGTAAAATAAAGGTATATATAAAATGCTATAGAAGCCCAGGAAAAGTCAGAGTACAGTCATCCTTGCTAATCTTTAAACTGACACTCCAACTGTAATATTTCTAAGAAGTTATCGATGGCTCTGAAAAACACTGGGACATTTGGAAAGTTCTTGGTGAAGCAATTGGTGATAAAAAGGAAAATATCTTCAGCTGTAGACAGAAGGCCACAACTCTTCTGCTTAGAATCAGTTTAGCTTCAGAAATTTGCATCAACAACTTTCAGGATTTAGGGCTAATTCTTCCCTGCAGATGCAGGTAAAATTAATGTAAACTTTGAATTTAGGTTCCCCTCTGCTTACTTTGATAGAACCTACATTTTTTTTTTCAATCCAACTTTTTCTGAGGTCTGATGACTCCAGGCTGGCAACTTTGGAGTATATAATCTTTGGCCAAGCGTCGGAATATTTAACTGGCTGGTTTATGTTCCAAGGAAGGGAGAGGAAAACCTAAAATACGAACAAAACTGGTTATTTACAGTAGACTTTAAAATTGCTTCCGTTTTTGTTTTCATTAACTTCTCTTAACCACCTGTGAAATAGGTATTTTACACCTGAAGCAACTGCAGCTCAGAGAAAGTAAGTTTTCCCAGTTCCAAAGTGTTGGAGTCTTATGTGACTCATTTGGGCTTTTTTCTTTTTTTTTTTTTTTACTATGGTCCACACTCAATTTTTTTCTCAAAAACTTCCTTTTTCTTCTTTCCCACAATTTTGCACAGTAAAACACATTCACCCACCTTGACTTCAGACAGTTCATTTGGGACTTCATTTTCGTATTTAGTAGTTTTCTCCAAGTCACTGATTCTCAAGGGAGTGGGGAGTAGGGTAGCCCCCCTAGAAAGGGCAAGTCAGAATCTTCTTGAATAAGGAGAGAGGGTAATGATGATAGTTTGTTTTTGCTTTTTTGTGTGTGTGCCTTGTGCCTGGGAATGGTGGAAGCAAAAGAAAAGGTTGAGAAATACTGCTTTTAAGTGAGAACAGATTGGACAATTGAGCAAAGAAGCAAGGCCAGTGACTTCCTTTGTAACAGACTTTTTTTCTTTCCTATTTCGGCCAAGCAGTTTTTCTGAGGGTTGGAAGAACTGAAACCATCCAAGAATAATGGGGGAAAGTTGCCTAGGCTAAGAAGGGCCCTTTGTCTTCCCCATACTGCCCCTGGGCTGTGACTAAAAGCCACGCCTCTAGTTGAGGGGGGTTGAAGAGCTAGTGACAGAAGTTGGTAGTGGGGAGTGACAGAGAGTGCCCATCACAGGTTGAACATGGCCTTTTCCAACTATCATTCCCCATTTACAAAGTTTGGGATGAAGCACTCTTTTTGTGAAGTGGCAAAAAGCCTCTGGGGATTTTCCAGAACTGCTTCCCTCTCTACCCCTGCCTGGAACAATAACCACGCTTTGCAGACACATCTATATTTATGCTAAAGAGATGGTCCTGAAAATTTGAAATCAAATTCTAATGTAAATGAGGTAAGGCAAACGAAAAAAGATCTTTGGTAGTTATGTCATTACATTTCCCTAAGGTATGTAATTAAAAATATTAATATTTGAGAAAATAAATAATTCGATTTCACATATTTGATCACTTATCCACCTTAATATGAGTGTATTCCCCAGGGCCCCCTACCTTAAAAATGAAAATGACATGGTTTTGTGGGTTTCTCATTTCGCATTAAGCAGTGTGTTATTTTCTGGAGCTATATGAGGATAGATATATATTTACCTTAGATTTTTATGGAACAGTTTACCTAAGAATCCATAATAAATGATCACTCTTTGCTTAGCTCACAACAGTTAGGCTATATCACATTACATTATAAACTCATTTTCAATTTATTTTATTTTATCAGTCATTCCCAAATTCTTTAGGTGAATATAAACTACTTCCATGAGTCAAGAGATCCCTTACTCTACCAAAATGCCCTACTACTTTGCTACTGCAAAAAGAAGAAAGCCACCAAAGGATGAATGGTGACGTTTTCAGAGAGACACTAACTGGAACCATCAGGAATCCTTTTTTAATTCATGTCAGACACCAATGAATATATATATAGCCATATCCTGGGCACCCATGCCTTAACAGGGCAGCCCCAAGGATTCTGGGGGACTGCTGTCTTAAATTACCACTGATGTTATTTTTGCCCCATCACTTTATATTGTTTTTCCAAGTTCTGGCTTGTATGTTTCTTTAAATTTTGTTTCCCTTGGAACTTCTTCCCTACATTTCAGTTCTTCCCTATATCCAATGTAGTGCTGGGTAGGCACTTAGAATACTAAATGTTCACAATTGATCCACTAAAAAGGCATGCTTACACTTTCAATAATGGCTTTACCTTATGCTGCAACAGATTACCTAATCAAGTTTATTGAGAGCAAAATGGCTGCCACACCAGGGTAGTCATTGTTTCCGAGGATGTTCCTGTCCTTGCCAGAGTATACTAATGTCATACTTGTTCTGCAATAAAAACAAACAGTGCAATTTGGGAAGAGAAAAATGAAACTGGCAGCTTTTACTCCCAGTCTGGGCTTTGCCAGACTCTGTGACTAGATTTGGGAACAAGCCCTTAAAGGATATCTTGCCAATGAAAGAGAAAAAGAAAGAAAGAGAGAAAAGAAAGAAAGAAAGGAACAGCTCAGAGACCCCTTGACCCTGCCCTGTGTAAGCCATGGGCGGGAAATTCCAAAAGGCTTTTCAAACCTTTCTCTTTCTGTCCTTTGATATGTGACATGCAATTCTCTTTACCCTCCCCCTTTCATTTTTCCTCTCTGCTTTTGTCGTCCTTTAAAAAATACCTAAGCTCTGAAAATAGTGGGTTGCTTTCTTTCAATCTGTGGGATAAAACCTAGCAGAAGAATAAAGAGGAATTTTAGAACAAGCACTGACCTGGAGACAAGGTCTCAGTTTTACCACTACGGTGGTATGGACTTGGGCAAGTCACTTCTCTGAGCCTTAAAATAAGTGGACTCTTCCCAGTTCTGTGAAAGCATAGGCTGTATCAGAAAATTACACAGAGGCTCAGTGGAAAAAGGTAGTGAAATTGAAAAAAATATATACACTCATATAAATAGATCAACACATCATATTAATATAAAAATATATGTGCTTTTTGGCAGAGACTTTTGGGAGAGTTGGAGACGGAAGATGAGAAATTATTTTTGCAAAGAGTTTTCCATTTTAACCTTGATCTTAACCTTTACCCAGATCTCTATCTCAGATTTGTCATTATTGTTACCTTAAGTATAAAGTGGCCTTACCTTACTTGTCCCTCTGCACACCTCTTTCCCGATCAATCTCACCAATGCCTTTCATCCAGAATTAGGTAGGAGGAATAGTAATCTCTCTCCCATTGCTACCTGATTAGAAGTACTTTTATCCTTTACAGAATTGTCTGGTAAAAATTTTACTGCTAAAAAATGTGACTGGCAATTAGCATACCATCTTCTCTCTTCCCTCTGTTCCTTTCATTTATGATCACGGTAATGATTTCCAATCATTTGCATTCATATTTCTAGGCAGGAAAGAAACCAGGATTATGATTATTTTCCCCTGTAAGAACAGGTAGATCATAGATGCATGTCACTAGCGGTGACTAGTAGAATAATAAAAGTCAGAAAGGACTATTTCAAGGGAAAGGAGATGATGCTCCGATGGTTAATATATACCATGAATTTCGAGTCTGAGCTTATTACTGTGGTCTGATTGACTAAAAGCTTGGCTTATGACTTTTGAACCAATTCTTTTGATACCTTCACTGAATATTTGTACCTTTCCCATTCCTTTAAAGCCAAGTAGTTGTCAGTGAGGGTGTATCCTTGGGAATGTGAGTCCCTTCCCTCGTTTGGGAGGAGAGGGTCAGGCCCGTTCAGTACACGTAGGTATCCAGTTTATTCTTACTGTCCGTAGCAAGGAAAATCTGCTACCATTTTAATTACTGTTGTTAAAAAGAAAATGCTGGGGAGATAATACACCAAAAAGTCATTGCCTTAGGGCCATGGGATTATGAGGGAGATTCCTTTTGTTTTCTGTGCTTTTCTGTATTTTTAAAAATTCTACAAATAACATGTAATATTATTATCATCTTTATATAATATGAAATATCATATAAATATATGTCACATGTTACTATGAGATTTATAATCTTTAATAATATTAAAGAAAATATTAATTAAAAATAAATACAATTGCCATTTTTCATTACCAAGATAAAAAGACATTTGTGTGCATGGGAAAAACAAATCAGTGATTTTTCTCAGTGGTTGTATGTAACAAATGTATTACAGCAAATTCATGTGTAAAATGAATAAAGTGACCTCCTCCTCTTCCTTCCCACCTTTTAGTGGTGACTGCAGTTGCCAGTTTGGTGGCTTCTGATGCCAGTGGCCTTTCAGCATGTTGCTTGGGTCCTTCTTTCTCCCCCTTTCAAAGTAGTTACTGATCAAATATTTCTGTGCTTTAGGAGAACTGTATGTTATGAATTCTCTTTGAACAGGGAAAATGCTTTTGAAACAAAATGAATGTCCTCTATAATTTTTATAAATTTAGGAAGTTGGTTGTGTTTAGTATACTAAGTTTTCACCTAAGAACTACACCTGCAGTCTGTATCTCCAGAAAAACACATTTGGTGGCATTAATATTTTCAGTTGTTGACATTCGGTTCTCATCATGAAACTGCTGTTGAAACGGATATAATTCTGTATACTTGGCAGTCTTGCCTAAAAGCAAAGCTCAAGACTGGAATAGCAGGAATTTACAGGTCAAGACAGAAGGGCATTTGGCAGAGTTAGTCATAAGGAAGCTTGCATGGTATACTTTACTGAAAGCAGCTCACATTGCATTAAGCCCTGATGTTTTAGTCACTTTCAAGAATGAATAAGCAGTAGTCCAACCCAAAAGAACTAGAAAAGAAATCAGACATATTGGAAGCACAGGTATTAACCTGTTAATTTTAAACTATGTTTACTATTTTGAAGCAATCAGTTTTTGTCTATGGTTGCTTACTCATAGAATTATTTTCTCTACAAGAAATAGCCAAATGTATCCATTTATTATTTCTCTTTCATAGGATCAGAGAATTTTAAAGCTGGAGGGTCTGCAGAACTTAGCTAACATAGAACCCTTTCAATGTCTAAATGGGGAAACTGAGGCCCAAGTCACTCAGTGAGTTAAGGGAGAGCCAGCCATCAAATATTGAGGTTCTTTCACCCATGAGCCAGCATTCTTAGTTCTTTCCTCTACATCAGCTGCCAGTGTAAATAATGTGCCTTTATTTAAAATTTTGTGTTTCAGGAACTAGAAGAGGTGCCTGAAGAAATGGACACTAGAAAAAATCACTGGAAGGAGAGTATGTTTTTTTTCAGTACACAGGATGTTCTAGGCGAGGCTTCTCAGCCTAACTCTTCTTCTGAACCAATGCCTTTAGATAAGGCCAAGAAAATGGAAGGAATCTATCATCTGTCTAGTAGAAAGTTTCAAGAAGAAAATAAATTTAAGAGGAAAAAATTTATTTCCCAAGTAAATGAAAAAGAAGAAGAACCAAATTTAAGAGAGAGAAAGAGAAACATTTCAAAGAATGAAGCAGACACAAATTCTGCCCCCTGTGAATCATCTAATCTGGAGATTGCAACCACAGAAAGCTGTAATAGCACAGAAGATTATTCTACCTGGAGTATAAAGGAATTACCAGCTCTTCCACAACAGGACACAAAGAAGAAATTTACTGAAGGAATGTCTCCAAAACTTCACCTGAGTCTTTTGAATGAAGAACTGGAAGAACTTAATGTGAAGTGCAGAAAAATAGAAGAGGAATTTGAAAGTGCTGAAAAAGAACTTTTGAACTCTAAAAAAGAAGTCTCCTCAAAACCCCTAAATTTTCAAGAAACAGGGATGGAAACTTCTAAGAAAGACTGGGAACTCCAAGCTTTGAGAAATGACTTATCTGAAAAAGCAGCCAATGTCAAAAACTTAACTGAAGAGCTCCAGCAAGCCAAAGAACTCATTCACAAGTTGAGCCTGGAGAACAGAGATTTAAAAGAAGCTGTTAGGAAGCTGAAGCGTCAAACTGAGGTTGGAAATGCACTCCTGAAGGAAGAGATGAAATTGTATTATGAATTAGAAATAGAAAAGATCCTCAGTGAGCTTGACGCCATCAAGAATGAACTGAGAACTGAGAAGACCCTACAAGCAAGAAATAACAGGGCCCTGGAGTTGCTTAGGAAACATTTTGCTTCTGTAATGTCATCAAGTACCCTTGACAGCTTTACAGGGGATCTTTTTTTAACTTAAACTAAAAAAAAAAAAAGCCTTTCATTAGACAAATCATTGAGCCAAATCAGCATTTCTTGTGCTTTCTTTATGTCCTACTTAAAACGTGTGTTAATGAACTGGAATTTTTCATTTTTAGTGAATCAGGGTGTCCATAAGATGTATAGACGTTACCTTCAAAACTCCTGCTTTCTCTATCTAATGAAGTGATTGTGAGGATCCAAATGGAAATGAAGCTTCAGAAATCTGAATATATGTATATATATTCACTGAAAGACAGGTAGTGATTCACCAAATCATTTATGAACACAAACCAACAGCCATTTCATGATCTTGTGAGCAATATGTCCTTGGCACACGAATATTCTCCCATCTGTGTTCGCTGATGTTAATAAAAATCTCGTTTATGTGTATAAGCATGACATGTGTCTGTGGGTCGTATAGCTGCCTGTTCAGACTCAATGGGATACTAAAAATGTATCTGCTTTCTTTGAGATCTAACCTTAATTAAGCACATATAAACATCTCCAAAAAAATGCAGTTTTTTTTCTTCCCAGCACTGCTGTTTTCCCCATGCCTTCTCCCTTGACCTGGCCACAGTTCCCATAGACTAGAAGACGACTTAGAGACATGGCTGTGACCTTTTCTAGAGCCTTGATTACGGTCAGCAACGGTTTTTGCATTTTCTTATGTTTGACCAGCAAGGGGCGTTGTTTACAAAGTTCTTCCAAAATCCTACCTGGGAAAATTTATAAGCTTTCTGCCCACTTTACATCACCAGCTGGCTGGGACTGGGGTGAAAGGTGTTGGATATCTTCTACATAAGCTGTTAATGAGCTGGCTTGATTTACAAAAGAATCCAGCCCTATAAGGGACTGGGGCAATGATTATACTTGAAATGTTCTGCCTCAGTCCTTTGGTGGAAATGATGGGCCAATTGATTCTTTGCATTTGTCTGTATCAATCATCAAGATTGCCTGAATTGGGATTCTCTTTGTATAATATTTTTAAATCCAATGAACCAAATGTAATTATGAACTAGAAGGGTGGGGTGCAGTTGTAAGGGTTTAGGTATCTTCTCTGATGTGAAATCCCCAGATTGGGAGTCTAGGACCTGCTTTAATATTAACTAGCTAATTAACTTTCTAGGTGTAAAACTCCTCATCTATAAAACAAGGGAGTAGATCTCCAGATTCTGTTCAGTTCGAAGGTTCTGTGATTTTGATGCCGGGGTTCTTGTTCACGGAGTGGAAGAATGAGCTTCACAAACACTCAAGGTAGGAGAGCAAGGCTGAGCTTCTATTTAGAGAGAAAGCCAGAGGACAGAGCTCCCAGAGGTGGTGCGTTGTCTAGGAGTTTATAGGCGGTTGACAGACAAAGGGCTAGGGATGTACACCTGCTAAGTGGTCCCAAATACTTTTGAAGAAACACTTAAGTTTCTTATTAGTCTTCCTGGTTATTTACAAGAACTTTACTGCTCTGATTTCCTCCCAGGATAGCAGCTTCCTGGGCTGGGAGCATATCACTCAAGGCTGCCTGCTTTGTTCCCAAGGTGGGCTGAGTTACTGTCTTACCTTTTAACTAATTGGGTTTCAAGATGGAATCCTTCCTCTTTTTTACTATGTTGTTTTGGGCTTGCTTGCTGCATTGCCCAAGTTGCAACAAATCACTTGATTAGGGCTGGAGGAAGAAAAGCAGCACTTGGGTAAAGTTAAAAAAATAAGCTGGGCCCCCCAACAGGCCAAAGCAAATCCCACAATGGTTATCTTGCTTTGTTTTTTCCAGAGGCCCTCACCCTACTCTGTCTAAGCCCAGGGTCCCTGTCTCAATTTCAGCCCTGATTTGATTTGCAAGTGGCACCCTGTACCTATAACCCTTATTTCCTGGAGGAAAAAGAACTCTAGCGGTATTGGATGAATTCAGTTCTAATACATTGGGGGACCTACTCTGCTGGACCCCTTTTCAAAGGAATTATACACAGGCTTTTTTAAAATAATTTGTACTTTTCCAAATATTGTGTCAGTACTAAATCAGGAGAGGGAGTAAATGAGTTTCTTTCTTCTCCTTTCTCTTGTTACCTTTTTACTCATTAAGGTCAGGGAACACACTGAACAGAGACAAACTAATGGCGTGCATGGCCTCGGGAGACTGAACTAACTTGGGAGATAATAATCTTTGGAGTTTTCTGATTTAGCCCTGATGACTTAATCCAGGCACTGGTAGCTGAAAGGGGAAGATAACTAAGGGTTTTGGGGATCATTGGCGCCCCACCAAGCATCTAGGCACAAAAGCAAATGAGAAACAATTTGCCCTGTTTGGCTCCCATCTTCATCACCCCTCCAAAATCACCCCTTTGACCTTGCCCCAGAAAGCCTCTCAGTTCCTGGCTGCTGGTGTGCAGAGCTGCTCTACATGTTTAAAATATTTCACAAATTGTAGTAATGACACTATTAGGCTCAATCTGCTTAGTAGATTTCAATTTTTAAAGAGGAGCTTTTACTCCAGGAGAATTCTATAAACCACACATCTGAAGTCTTCGGTGGTAATTCGGTTTTCTCCTGCATGAGTGTATGTGTGTGCTTTTATGAGTTTGGGCGGCAGGGAAGGAGTGTAGTGGAGGGAGGGCCACAAAAGATCAGTGAATGGTTCACCCAGCTGTAGGGTGGGAGTTTGTATTTCTAGGATGAAACTGAAATACACGTTCTTGATGAGACAGCCGGGGGTGCCGAGACACCGCAAGGCCTGCCCTATGGAAATCCTAGGTCAAGACACTAACCACGGAGACAATATATAATCACCAAACACAAGGTCCAAGGAGAGATAGAAGCCAAAGTCACAGAGCGAGCAGTTCGGAGCTGGATAGGGACTGCATCTTTTGATGCTTGTATTTTTAAAAGCAGGGCTGCAGTAAGCTGGGAGAAAGCTGGGCAGTTACTGTTCCTCTTCATGGGCCAGTGAGAACAGCAGTGGGTTGAACTGGCTCAAAGAACCAGAATCAAGGCAGATGCAAATAGTCTCCCACTGTCTTTGTAATCACACACACTCATTGCATTAGGTGGCCCCCAATTTCGATCAGAATATATTGTCACTGTACTTTCTAGTATATTGAGTGGGAGGTGTGGTGGCATTTTTTTTTAGCAGAAATGGCACATCAGGCCACTCATCCCTTTAATCTGTTGGGTAAAATATTTGAAATCAGCCATACAGCTGCACACCATTCCCCACCAACTCCCAATTCCTTACTAGGAAGTATGGGTTGTCACAGGGCTCTGGGAATACCAGCTTTACCTTGGGTTTACAGACCAGTTGTAGAAACATTTGCTAAGCACTTACTACCTTCGTTTATCACTTCTAAAACATGCCTTTTTTTTAACATCCCTGAATTTGGGACACATCTTCAAATTGATGACATGTCATACTATAATTGTCAGTTTTTAAAATCTTTCTTAGTGGTTCATAAAATAATGGTGTATCTTACAATCGATAGGGTTTTAGATTTGATGAAGTATGGCATGAGCTAGGCTGGGGATATGAGGATAAAAGGATTTATGACTAAGATAGGACTCTGACCTCAAGGACCTTACTTATGCAACTAACTAAAACAATGTGGTAAGTGCTATACTAGCAGTGCTAATATGAAGTGCTGTGGGAGCACAGAGGAGGATCAATTAATTCTGCCTGTGGGGCTGGGAAGGACTTCATAAAGGAGGTGACATTTGAGCTGGGCCTTGAAGGATAAGAAGGATTTTTCCAAGCAAAGCAGGGGGGCAGGGGTGGGGGCATTTCTGGAATGTGAATGTGGAAGGTCTATTTGGCTTCAAAGAGGACTCTTAACAGCAATGAATTAGAACACTGGGACGTTACATGTCGCTGATTTTTAAAGTCCTATTTGAGGTTCTACTCTGAAAACTGATTCCAACTTTTTTGCTCCTTTGCAGATAGATGGGAGAATGGAGTTCTCATGACATGAAGACCAGGTTCCAGATAACGAACTACAGAACAAAATTTTACTACGGCCACTGTACCTTTAGCCGCCATCATTTTTTTCTTAAACCAAAGACCTAGGAGATTTTGGTCATAATACCCAGCTAAGTCCACTGTGAGCTGTCTGCTTTCACAGAGATATATGAAAAAGAAACACCACAGTTGCTCCTCTCTCCAAGGAAACAGCAAAGAGATTAAGTGCACACTTTGATTACCCACTTACTAGCCGAGTGACCTTGTAAGTTTTATAATTCCCTGTAGCTTTCTTTCCTTATTTTGTAGGAGGGGCTTAATAAATAGTGTTGGTATGAGAATAAGATGAGGTCACATACAGTCAGTAAATATCACCATTGTTGTTATCATTATTATTATTATTATTATTATTATTACATAACTGATGAAGTCCATTGTCTCCTCCCAGCTATTACTCTCACCAAGCTTTTTACACTTGTCCCTCAGATTATGTTCTCTGAAGAGGATATGATAAACTCATTCATCTATGTGCATCAATGATGTGTGATATGTTTGGGAAGGTGGAACAAGTTGTAGGGAGGATATTGTGATTTTATTTATATATGAAGCCTTAAGCCAATGTAATGAATCTGTGGTGAGGGACTTTGGGGCCTCGGGACAAAGCCTGTAAAGGGAATTTTCTTGGGTCAGAGCGTACCCAACCCCCTCTCCAAATTAGGTCGCTGTAAGGCTGGCCCCTGGCCCTGGCAGGCGGAATACCAGAAGTGGGAAGAAAGCCATGCTCTACTGCTCCAGTGGGAAAAAGCCCATCTAGGAAAAGGGAATGGAGACAAGAGAGGCTATTATAGTATTTCCCATTTCCCCTTGGCACAGGGAGGCATGCAGCTGGGGACCCACTACTACAGCTGCTCAGATAAGAATAAGTCATTGTCTTGTTCTTTGTACTCATAAGACCCTGAAGCTGTAGTTCCCCTCGTGTATTGTAGGTGTGCCCTCCGTTCCATACTGAGTATCAAGGTGGTGTCTCCCCCATTTAGTGGCCAGAGCTGCTGTTCACAGCGTCTCTCTCTCTCTCTCTCCCCACTCCCTCTCTCGCTCTTTCTCTGTCTCACCATCGATCACACCCCAGGCTTTTGATGATTACTACATTTCAGTGGGCTAAGATTGCCATTTCCCAGGAGGCTGGGTTTATTGCTGGTTCTCTAAGATGTGTTCTGGAGTATCCTGGAGGCCTATCTTCTGCCTGTCAGCCCATGTCTATTGACTCCACCAGGTGTTGCCGTGTATATTCCAGACCATGACAGGAGATGTGCCGGAGACATTCTCCCTATGCCATTAGTACTCTAGCCTGCCTTTGGCTAGAGTAAAAACAGCCTAGCTACAAAACTTTATTATGCAGCACACACTTCCATGGGCGTCACCTTACGTAATCTGCCCAAAAAGCCTTGATCATCAG